CTTCTCTCTCCAGAAAGTCAGTGGTTACAAAGAAACAAAAAAATACAATGCAGGACCTGCCCTCATTGACAAGCTTAGGTTCCAGTCACAAATCTCTCCTTAAGAGGAAAAGCTACAAAAAAAAAAAAAAAAAAAAAAAAAAAAAAAAAGAGGAAAAGCTACTCCCATGTCTGTCCTTACACTTTCATTTCTACTTCATTGATATGCTCAAAATAATCAAAGTGAAAACTGAGCTCGGGGGCATCTGGGTGGCTCAGTTGGTTAAGCATCTGCCTTTGCCTCAGGGTCCTGGGATCGAGGCTCATATTGGGCTCCTTCCTCAGCAGGGAGTCAGCTTCTCCCTCTGCTGCTCCGGGTGCTTTTTCGCTCTCTCTCTCTCTCTGTCAAATAAATAAAATATTTTTAAAAGTTAAATTACTTTTTTAAAAAGTGACCCCAAAGCATCCCTCATAATAAGATAACAATTACAGGGTGCTTTATAGTTCTTTACATAATTGTGTGTGTGTTCATATGCGTGTGTGCCTATGTATCTATAGAGAGGTTAACAGCAGATCCTCACAATTAACTATTGTAAACACGTTACCAGGATACTTCTATCAGAAATGCTTTGTGTCCTCTGGCAATTCCATTAAGCCTGCCACACACCTGTTCACCTGCCTTTCCAAAGTTACAAACAGAGGAAAGATAATTCTGTTAAACCCTAGAGGGATTTACATGGGCAGGAACGCAGGAGAAGTGAGTAGGAGGGTGTTTTCTTCAAGTTGAAGGAGCTGAGAAGACAAAAAGTAAAATCCAGTGGTAGCAATCAGATTGCTGGTACCAAAGAGCGAGTGAGTCAGGTGCGGAGCAAGGATGGGCCACACCCTCAAGAATTCGAGTAGCATTCTGTGATCTGAGGAGGAAGGAATGCATCCGCTCCGGAAGCTGGGTGAGGCAAGGCTGCCATTAAGGCAATCCGGGCACAGCTATGATTACAGACAGGCCAAGCTGTCGGGATGAAAACAGAAACCCACATCACCCGCTGCCATGCGGTGAGATTTCCCATGCTACCCTTGCGTCCAAGTAGCACATCTGGACAGTCACATGACCTTAAGTCTTCGTGGGGGGGGGGTAGTACCTAATGGTAAAAATAGTACTAATTTTAAAGTGTCGCTGAGTGAGCTGCAGTATTACACGAGCTGATCAATCCTCGCTCTTGCTTATCGATTATGATGACGTTTAAACTTGAGAGACATTATATAACCAAGAGAGACATGTTAATTGCAGAGAACTTAGAAACTCCATGTAAACACTCAGAAGAAAATTATGATCATTTATAATCCCATCACCCCTATATATAACCTTAATATTTTATTGTGTAACTTTTCAAAATTTCATATATATATATATATATATATATATATATAAAATCATGACATATGCTCCTTTGTCACTTGATTTCTTCACCGACGAATCA